TGATGATTTTTTTTTTTTTTTCTCTCAGCACTGACTTGATGAATAGGATAAATGTAGGACAGATGCATTGACATGCTGCATTTGGGCCATCGACGATAACGCAGCAACTTATCAAACTGGGTAAAATGTGTCGCTGTATCGTGTGAATTATTTGAATCCCTCAGTTAACGTGTAAATACAAACCCGTCCCCCAAAGTAGTAAAATTAGAATGTGCACAAAGAATTTTTCTGACATGACCTTTCAAGAAATAAGCTCCTTATCCAGAGATTACGATGTTATGCCACTTTTACCCACCAATCACACGACCAATGATTCTGGTTATTAAAACTCATTTGAATAAGTAATGTTAACAAACAGACCAGAGGTTAACCCTAACAGTTTAAAACACATAACTGACTGAACTATGACTGCACACTCATTCAGAGGTTAACGCTGATAAGATGAATTGTCTGCGGTGTAAAACATAAATAAAAAACAGTGTCGAAGGAAACTCTTGTTCAGCCACTCCACAAACGGAGGCCAGTGCTCTCTTCAGACAAAAACACAACATAAATAAAACATTCTGATAAATGTTGGGTTCTTCAATTGTAGTGTAATTCACAACCTTAAAAATTAAAAACAAATATTTAAAATAAAGGACAGGCGCATTGGTTAGTGCACCACCGGCGTCCCATGTATGGAAGCTGTAGTCCTCCAAGCGGGCGGCCCAGGTTCAAATCCGACCTGTGGCTCCATGTCATTCCCCTCTCTCTCTCTCTCTCTCTCTCTCTGATTTCTGACTCTATCCACTGTCCTATCTCTACAATAAAGGCACAAAACACCCCCCCCCATAACAAATCTAAAAAATAAAGGACATAATTTTTGTGAGACAGGTAATTATTTTAACAAAATAAGATGAAAATTTATGGGGAAATTTGGTAATGTGCTGTTAGCTACAATAAGATGCACGTTCTGCGTAAACACTGAAGATTATAAGAAGTATAACAAATGCTTAGAAACCCAAAGAAGTACTTTTAATGTTGGCAAATTATGTTCATTAAAGGTGCACTATGTAGATTTGGTGGTGACATTTTAAAGTTAAAGTGAATTTGATGCTATATTTTCTGAACCGAATACACAAATTTGCGCAAAGAAAAAAAATGGTTCCCTGGACACTGTTTGGAGCTTAAAAGCTACCAGGAGTGTTACAGTTTCACTGTCTCGGACCCACCACCATAACTTCTCGTGTAGCATTTTGTCTTCGAACAGTGTTCCTGGGACCACATTTTCCTCTGAGGACAGTTTGTGTATAGAGTTATTCACATAAACCCAAATAACCTGTACACTTCTTCAACTTTCGCATTTCTCTACCAAAACTACATCATGCACCTTTTAAGCTTTTACTTCTATCTACAAGGTGTTGTGGTTTTGTGATCAGCATAGCGTTAGCATGAAGAACACCATCCTCTGCTTCTTTGAGAAAAAGGAATTACAGACTAAGTCAATACAGATGCAAACCCTGATAAATATTTAACAGTCTTACTCTCAAACATATTGTCCCCTGCGCAAACAGTCCTCGCAGAGCCCCATCAGCTTGAATCCAGATTGATGTCACTGTCATTTGTGCGGCCTGAACACTCTGCTGAACATTCACCACTTTCCTCTTGTGACATCTGTTTTCCTCTCATTACTTGGCTCCCTGTCGGAGGACAACATAGCTGCTCATAGCTGCTTTCGTGGAATTTTTTGTCTTTGCCGGGCGTTCTGAGCTTGAGCAAAAGGAATGTAAAAACAATAAGCTGTCTCTGATATTCCTGCCAGAAGTGTTTAAAGCGTGTCAAATCTAGTTGGAGATTTGCACATGCTTTAACATATTTTATGCATTTCCTTACTTTTTTTTTTTTTTTTTGCTTTCCACCGTGGTGTCTGTTTGACATTCAAATCTTCATGCTGAATAAGCCGAGTGATGGATTGTACTGCGAGAACTCGCGTTCTGGTGGTGTCTAATCTATACCAGGCCATCATAAACTACTTTGTATGACCAAATACCTTTTAGTTATTCAAGTATGATGACATGTTAATCCCCACAGAGGCTCATTTAGGTCATATCGTGCGTATCTATAGGAGGTGGTCTATGTTTCTGGGTTTCTATAATCTGGTTTGTCATCTGCTGCCCTGCAGGCTCGGCCTCTCGTCAGCACCCGGCACGACATCAGCAGCTTTTGGCTCGGGCTTGATTTAAAAAAAAAAAAAAAAAAAAGTGTCTGTCTTTAGGTGGTCTGACCACCACATAACGCGGGCACTGTTGCCTCCTAGATGGCACGTTTCAGATGGTCAGCTGGCATGGCTTACAAGGGCGCCCATGCATTGAGGAACATTTTCCTGGATAACAAGGAAAGAGGAAGGAGTGTGTGACGTCGGAGGCATGCATGTTGGGCAGCATTGCTGGTTGTGGTCGGTGGAAGGGAGAGTCCTCACGCGCTCGCTCCCACATTCCAGTTTTGTGTCAGAGCCGACCCTTTAACTCTTCTGGAGGGATTAAAGAAACAGATATCAGTATCATTAAAAGTCACTCCACTGCTGGTTACACATTAAAAGTTCTGCCTGTGTTTGAGTTTTATCTGCTTTGTTTATATGTCAGCGTTTTGAAAAGGTCACCGTGACCCTTTAGATTTACGCCCTTCTTGAAGTCTATTTCCAGCCCTCTTTTCAGGAACCTCTTCAAAAGTGCTACTCACGTTTCACGGTGCAAAAGTTCAGGGTAAACATTCAAATTGCGCCTGCTTTGCACCGTGTTTGTTGATGGATCTGGTTTATTATTTAACGAGCAGAAAATTTTGGGTTAATAATAATAAAATAAAATAAAAAACATCCTTTATTATCATTTCCTTTTCAGAGCAGGAGAATATGGGTCAGTCACAGAAAAGATGAGTTCACTTTTATCAACACTTCCCCCCCCCCCCCGGAAAAAAAAGATGTGACACTCTACGGCTTTACGGGAGCCCTGAGAGGGAAGTAGGTCAGTGTTACCACATTATATAAGGTTAGGTAAGACGAGAGCCCAAACCCCATTTACTCTCACGTGCCGGCTAAACTGCCAATTGCCATGAATAGCTGGAGGTTTAGCGCCCTCTAGTGGCAGCCTTCAGAAAGTGCTGAGGGAGTCCGCCTGGAAACAGATGACTTCAGAGAAAGGCCGTGCCAAGGCTATTGTGTGTGTGTGTGTGTGTGTGTGTGTGAGGGGGGATTGGTCTGGTGAGTAACTAAATCTACAGAAGAGAAGAATTCTGGCAGTCTCCCACTCGTTTTTGGCAGCCATGAGTCAGCGTTTAAAGGGCCATATGTCTTTTTTTTTCCTTCCACAGTAAGATGGACATTCCTGAGATGTCAGCCATTTAAAAATAAACCACCATTACAAAAAAAGAATCATGAATCACTGTCATTGTTCGCTCTTAAGAAAAATTTTTTTTTTTTTTTTTTTTTTAAAACAAAAATGGTTTCAGATACGTGCTTCAAAACGAATCTCAAAAAGATGCCAACAATCATGAGAAGGTCTTCATGATAAACAAACTCATCTGTATTTTATATGGAAGTAAAGACAAGCCAGAATATTAGAAATAAAGAAAGTGAATAGAAGATAATTAAGTCAATAAAATGTTCCATAAGTCTATGGGAGAAAAAAAGGCTATTATAACTTTTACAAGATATAACTGATGTCATAACTGTCGGATGTTTTAGAGCAGAGGTTCCCAAACTTTTCGCACACACACACACACACACACACACACACACACACACACACACACACACACACACACACACACACACACACACACACACACACACACGTGGTAGGCCTCTCCAATCACAGGTAAAAACAAAAGAAGAACAAAAGAGAAAATGCAACAGCCTAAAAACTATAAATGTGTTTAATATCACAGTTTATTGTAAGAAAGACTAGAAGAAGAATTCAATCTCCATGTACAGACTTAAGCACTAAGCGGACATAAAAAACATATTTATGTGTAAAGAGGAGCAGACACCTATGGGTGGTGCTGTGTGCGAACTAAAATTTAAATATTTTTAAACATTAATTTAATTTCACTTAATGTTATGGTTTGATTTGAAATTGAACTATTTTGTATATATATTTATAATAATGGGGAAAATAATCCATTTTAATTCATTTTGATTGTATTCATTTATTTTGAAGGCATCTCACGACCCCCCTGTTGGTGGCTCGTGACCCCTCAAATCTGAGAAAGAAATTCAAACCAAGATGGATGGTTATCCAAATTGAAAAAAATCTATTAAGTCAAATCAATAAGGTTCTGGCTTTCCTTTACTTCCATAGACTCTGAATTACTCGTTTTCCCATCTCACCTTTCTTTCTCTCAATCAAAGTGGCAATGACAGTTTGAACCGAGTGACTTAGAAAGAATTCATAACTTTTGAACAGAGTCAGAGTCAAAGGATAAACTTAATTACAGTCATAAATCAGTGAGCCATCACCACTGTCCATTGTTCCCAGCTCTTCAAGAAGGATAATTAAATGCTTGGCCAACTTTGGCAAACCCCGCACAAAGGTAAAGCCCGGCAGTTCATTCATGTGGTTGTTTTTTAAATATCAGCATTTGAACCTTCTGTTATACAACCCAGGCGTGGTTTTCCTTATTCACGTTGGAATATGCGGCTACATTGAAATATTTGTGGTGAACCGATTGAAAGCAAATGTAAGAAACCAGTTTTTATAAATGCAGTTCAAAGAAGTGGCCTTTGTACTTAATAAGAACTTGAGTCTGACCTGTTTGTTTCTTCATGATGAGTTTTATTTAATGAACTTCTCGATATGTGCAGCAAACCAAACGGTCCCAAGTGACATTATAAAATCTCTGCATATCACTCATAGTACCTTATTGAAGCCCCCCCCCCCCCCCCGACAGCCTTCAGAGATCTGGAGGTTTGATGTATTTGTTCTCATGTACTCACCTCCCTGTGATGGTTTGTTTTAATGTATCAGATCCCGCTGCAGAGGAGGAAGCTCTGAGTCAAGCCGGATCCTCGCTGGCAGCTGTCGAGCTGCCAAGGAAACGAAAGGGAGATGTGGAGGACAGGTCAGACCCCCACGGACGGTAAGAGGAGCAGTATGTTGTCTGTGAAGAAAAATCAAACCCGTTTAGCGCTTTATGTTTATTGAGAATAAATCGATGCATATATTCTGCTGTTTCTTTTTGATAACAGCTAACATTTGTCCACTTGATTTTCTAGGCAGAGCCTTGACTTCCCAATGGATGATGATCTCAGCAGGTACACTGACCTCTTCAATGTACTCACACACTGTCTTATGGAGGGGTTAACATACAATACGATATGAAACAATAAGATCCGATACAGTACGAGCTGATACGATACATCAATGATAACGTGCAGGATTAAAGTTATTTTATTAACTGCAATCTGGTGTCAGTTTCACCTCTTATCATCTCTTCACTTCTTATCTCTGCTGTGCGACATCATGCCGCTGTCTTCTTCTTTTTGCCAAATGAGCCCTCGTTGAAGCTCGTCTTTTTTGAGGGTAGCAGGAGGAGTCATGAAGAGATGACGCAGCGAGTCAAAATTAGCAGTGAAATCTGTTTAGAGCACGGTAGTAAAGTTGAAGTTCAGCCTCTTCTTGATACTCAGGAAGGTCTGCACCTCCGAGGTCCTCCATGGCGCTGTGCTAGGCGTTAGGGCTGGGAATCTCCGGGAGTCTCACGACTCGATTCAGAATCGATTTTCTATTCAAAACGATTCTGGATTCATGATTCAAAGTTTATTTATGAATGAGTACATACTTCAGGATCTACTCCAGTCATCTGTGAGACTGGCTGAATTTTTTGCTGCTCCATTTGGCATCATACTGAGTGAAAGAGTTAGCATTAGCACTTAGCAGGGAGTGACTGATTTGCCCCAAAAAAATTTTTGGAAGTTAGGAAACGATTTTAAATCTTAGAAGAGAAGTTTTTTTTCCCAAAATAGAAAAACGACATTGAAACTTGTCTCCATGGGATATTTAAACATGGCGCTTTTTTGTTTATTTCCCTTTTTTAAAACTGTCGCACGGGAAGTGACGATTATTTCAACCAATCAACGGACTGCAGCGTGTCTAGCTTGACCTTTCAGGGGTTGGATCAGTCCACTTTGCACCCGAACAGAAGGGTACCAAAAAAGAAGGACTTTACTAATCAGTTAGTTTGGCACCATTCCAAACTTTTGACAGTGGAAACACCAATCAATGCGTACCATACCAAACCAGACTGTACCACTTGGTGGAAACGGGCTAAAAAGTCCATATTTTGCACCAGCTTTGTCATAATTGTATCACTCAAGTCAGGACGAGGATAAATTACTGCATCTATATTTGGTCCCACCTCTAGACTGATGTGAACATTTTGGCAAAGAATAACATTATTCTTTTTTTTTTCCCTTTGCAGATCTGAAGGAGAGGATACTCAAATCAAAATGAAATGCTTCAGGTACTTTTATCCATGTTTTATAGGTTAAAAAAGGAAATTCTCTGAATCATTTTACAACTGTTGTAAAGTCTTGTGGTACTGACCGTGTGACTGGGCCTACAGGGAGCCTCACAGCCAGATTGAGAAACGGCGGCGGGATAAAATGAACAACCTCATCGACGAGCTTTCTACCATGATCCCCGCCTGTCAGCCCATGGCGCGGAAACTTGACAAACTCACTGTGCTGCGAAAGGCGGTGCAACACCTGAAAGCCCTCAAAGGTGAGCAATCTGGTAATTAAAAAAAAACAAAACAGTCGTTTACATCGATCCTGTTCAATTGAATAACTCTCACTCATCATGTTTTCAGCTGGGACGAGCAGCGCCTTTACAGACACCACCTGCAAGCCTTCCATCCTGCCTCACGATTACCTCAGGCACCTTATGCTCAGTGTGAGTGCTCACGTTTAACCCCTTTCAACATCACACTTTATTATGCAATCTCAATCTGAATTGGTCTAATGATTTTGTCTTTCTACCAGGCTGCAGATGGTTTCCTATTAGTTGTTAGTTGTGACCGGGCGAAAATCCTGTTCATCTCCGAGTCTGTGTCCAAGATCCTCAACTTTAAACGGGTGTGTATCACACCTACAACACACACTCATTTTGTTGTTTTTATCTGTTTTTAAATGTTCATAAGATGAGTTGTCGACATCCTGCTCTGTAAATAAAGATAAGATATTTTTTTTTTATTAATGGTGAAGAAAAGTGTAAAGCCTTGAGTGTCTTTTGTATTGTCTGTGCCGTTTGTTAGTTAGCAGCTCCATTAAAAGGTCCTGACTTCATCTGCGCTCAGCATGAACATTGGTGCAGTGTGCACATAATTGGTTTGTGGTTGAGGAAGTAGATCTTTACAACTTAGTCTAATCACAAATGCATTGTTTTGGAAGCAAATCTGTGCAAGTCAGTGGATTGAATGAGAAACAAAAACACATGAAATATTTGATTGAAGCTCTAATGAAGGCGCGATTATACTGTTAGTAAAACTTGCTTGTTTTCTATTTCTTCTGTAAGGACAACATTTTTGCTTTAATACATGTTTTAATAGTTAGTTTATAGTGTTTGGCGGCTATAATGCTTACCACACCTGCTCTGCAATCTTGACCACATTCAAACAAATCTGACTCAATGCCTGTAGGGCAACATGTGCTATTTGGGAGGTTACCAGTTAAATTTAACAGGATAGAGGCCGCAGCAGTTCTCTTTATGTTTCTTTTCTGAGATCTCAGTGTATGTCTAGACTCTTTAACTTTAGAAAGTACGGTGGCTGGGAAGTGCAAAACAAAGTTACAAAGTGTGAAACACTTTTGCACTGCACTGTCGATTAAATGAAATAGAAACAATGTTTTGTAATAATGTGACCTGAACAAAGACAGTAAAACAGGGATGAATAAAGAGATGAATAAATGGATGTTTGTCATCACAGTTGGAGCTGACTGGGCAGAGCCTGTTTGATTTCATCCACCACAAAGACATCAGTAAGGTGAAGGAGCAGCTGGCGTCATCAGAGCCCTACCCTCGCCAACGCCTCATCGATGCTGCCAGTAAGTCTGCTGACATGTCAGGTTTGAGTAAAAACAACGTATGAGGTAGCAGAAATTGGAACTAAAGCATGTTGACATTATGCATTAAATGTCTCTCTGTGTGCAGCCGGGGTTCAGCTCCAGGCAGATACTCCGGCCAGACCGTCCAATCTGACCAGCGGAGCCCGGAGGTCCTTCTTCTGCCGGATGAAGTACAGCCGGGTGGTGGGGAAGCACGAGGACAAACATTTGCTGCCGAGTACTTCCAAAAAGAAAGGTGGGCTCTCATACGAATCCTTCTAGAGACAGAGACTAAGTAAGACCAAACCATACTGGAGGGTAAAATATATCAGTTGTATCATGTGAGGGGCGACCGTGTCACTTTTGTCTGTTAGCAAAGGACAAAAATTTTTTATCTCGTTTAAAGAGGACATATTATACCCCCTTTCTACCTTTTCAAACAGTCCCCTGGGGTCTAAATGAAACATCTGTTTCATTTAGACCCCATCTGTTGTTGTTACAACAGCTCTAACACAGGAATATAATTTGCAAAATAGTAAAAAGTAAAAAAACAAACTTATTTACATTGATTAAATAAAGCAAGAAAAATACAATAGAGATAAAATAATACTAGGCATATACTATATACACTTTCACTTGTGGAAAGACAGAGGACAGTTCTTATTAAAACACACACACAGTGTGTAGAATTACTGATTGTGAACTTTATTAGAGTCAGGTGGGGGTACTGTTGAACAGTCTGACTGCAGATGGTATGAACGACCTGCAGTAGCGCTCTGTCTTGCAGGGTGGGTGTCTGAGTCTGCTGCTGAAGGAGCTGCTCAGGGCCCCCACAGTGTCATGCAGGGGGTGAGAGGGGTTGTGCTGTGCTTCGGTCAAAATATAACATGAATCCAGCACCAGAGGAGGTTTGTGAGCCTGTATAAACCAGCTCTCTCAGAACGCTCCGTTTTGGTGTGTGTGTCTCTTTAAATGTAATGACCCCCCCCCCCGAGTTTTCCCCGTAGACACCACTCCTCTGTAGCGAGAATAAAAATGGCGGACCTGCTCAAAAGTTTTGTTCTAGGCTGGGGGTGGAGTCTATGGGTGGAGATATCAGGGGATGGGAGGGGATTTTTTTAATCAGAATCCCACTGTGACATCACAAGGAGAGCACAATTGAAACGGAGCATTTTTCTCTGTGTTGTAAGACTTATGCAGACCACAAACAAAGGACTGGATGGTCTTATTTCAAATTTTGTGGGTCAGTAGACTCTCAGGTTACCCAAATATATGTTCAAAAACACTGTACAAGTGGATTTTTCATGATATGTCCTCTTTAAAAAGAAGTTGGGATCCAGAGAAAACAACTGAGAGGAACTTTTCATCACGGGGAAACAAGCGATCTTTTTAGTTAACGAGATGAATAAGTCATGATCTCAAGGAAATTACTTGGAAAATGGTGTTAATATAACGTACGAATGCACATCTGTTCATGGCTCATGTAGTAATGGACAGATGGAATCCTTGACTCCCAATCAGTTCAACAAACAAATGGCCCTGATCTGGATTTGTTGCTAAATGCAGCATCCTGTTTTGTAGCCTGGTAAATATTTCCAAATGATTCTCATTTGGAAAAACAGATGGATGGGATGTGACGCTCGAGGCAACTTAACAAGTGCCAGAAAGGTTTGACCGAAGCCCACTTCGTCTCTGTCTTTCTGAAATGGATTTTTAATACAGAAAATGCAGCACCTCAGAGGATATTTCTCCCATAAGATGTCTGCTTTTGGAGGAAAAAGTAGACTGAAATGTGTATGTTTTCTAACATACTGGTGGAGCTACATGTGTTATCTGCAGAAAACTAACGACAGATCATGACAGAAACTTGATACACAGATTCTAACTAAACCAGGAGAAACACACTGGCGCTCTCAAACCCACAGCTCCTGTGGATCAGTGCTATTTGGGATCAGGGATTTTTTTTTTTTTTTTACCTTTCCCTCTTTAGAGCACTTGAGGTCGTTCAGCTGATGGGAAACTGCCTGACTGAGTTATTTCTTAGTGCTCAGCTTTGTATACAGCCGTGTTCAGTCCTGGAACACCCGAGCAGACGAGGAAGATCGAGGATGTGTCCCAAAAGATTAACGAGTTGTTCAAATGTGCTTCTAAGCAATGAGATCAGCAATAGGGCAGCCAGTGGAACAGAAAACAGTGGAAAACGATTCCCCTGCCCGGCCCGCCTCAGAGGAAATTATCTGATCTAGAGCTGGTGAACAGGTGGATGATGGCGGGTGTGGGTGGGTTGTGACTCCCTCCACCTTTTTGTAAAAGTGTAATGAGATGGTTTGAAAGTAAGGGTCTTTATTTCTAAGGCATCACTATGGAAATAAAAACTTTCTTATCACTGCTTATTAAAGGTCATAGTCAGCTCTTGTTTTTGTTTTCCTCTGGCGTGTTTCCTCCTCTCATGAAGCTCTAATCCCTCTCCAAACCCAAGTCAATGAAAGCTCACAGTGATAGTTATGTTAATGTTTTTGGGTTCATGATGATGTTAGGGATAAATACACACACTCGTCGTCTTGTTCTATCAGAACTTCTTTGTTGAATCGAAATTTCTTTTTCTCTCTCAAAACGAAGCACCAGTTAAAGTCCAGCAAAGGAAGTAGGTCAGTGTTTCAGCGTTGTATAACCACAAAATAAAGAGATGGTCAGAGCCCTTCTTACCCATAAACCAGGCTGTGGTGATGGAAACACAGGGCATGGCGCCACTCAGTGGTCAATCCCTGTAGCTACACTACATGATATATGGTATCGTAGCAGTTATTATCAACTGTAGAGTTCAACAGTGTTATCTCTTAGTAAATTTGTCTTTCATAATTATTTAAGATTTATATTCTCTCCTTTGTTTTTGTTTGTTTTTGGACAATAGTTTAAATGAGAGAGCCTTGAGTGTTATAAAATGTGTCGTTGTTTCTGAGATTGTGCGAATGAAATACAGTTTAGGAAAGGTAAAGCGTTTCCTAAACGCTTGGGCGCAGATGGCCTAGCGGTTAGGTCGCACCCCATGTAAGAAGGCAATAGTCCGGGTTCAAGTCCGACCTGTTGCTCCTTTTTTCCCCCCATGTCATTCCCCACTCTATTTCGCAATTCACTGTCCAAACCACTGTACTATCAAATTCAGACAAAAAGCCCCAAAAATAAATCCTTAAAACAAACAAACAAACAAACAAACATCTCCTGATTTTATAGCCGCTGATCACATATCAATAAGCTACACACACTGTTTTTGAAAACTGTCTCCTTCTATCCTCCAGTGAAAGTAGACATAATCTTTATATCTTATCATATGTCAGGGAGAGACTAAATAAATAAATAAATAAAGAGGTGTGCTCAGGCAGGACACTACCACAGGATCCTTGGCTGGCTCCTCCCACAAAATATGTCCTTAGGGGTCTTACGTAGTGTCGTAGTCAAGACCACACTAACCGAGACCAAGACATACTGAAGACAGGAGTTCTCAGAGACAAGACCCTTTGTACTCCTCGAGTCATGTTGTCCACACAGTCCCATGGGGATGACTGGAGCGCGGGTGGTGGTTGAGGGACGACGCAGTCTGATGGTGGTAGTTGGGGCGTCAGGGGCATCGGGTGGTAGAAAAGCCAGATCACCTCGCTGAATGTTGGGGGAGCTCCGTCTACTCGAGAGCCTGGCTCCTGCTGCCGGGACAAGGCCCCCTCTTACGTAACATTTCATAAAACACTTGCTTGACTGTGGTCGCCGCTCTCCACATGCCGTTCTCGGTCATACAGCAGTCCTGAGGTTTTATGTTGTTGTTCTTAAAATTCACTTTAAAAAAAAGTCTTTAATAAACATCATGTGACCACAAATACATAAAGGTTATAGAAACAGAGAAAAACTGGAAAACCTTCTAGTTTGCTCTTTTGTTATACTGTAGGTAGCAGTGCAATTTGAAAACAATAAGCACACATTATGGATAACATTATGTCAGAAAACAGTTCTAACTGCTTGTTTTTGTGCGCACAGACACCAGCAGATACTGCACCCTCCACTGTACCGGATACATGCGCAGTTGGCCAAGCAGCCAGCAGGACTCGGAGGAAGACGGCGACAAGGAAACGTCAAACCTGACCTGCCTGGTGACCGTGTGCCGCCTCCTCTCCCACTCGTCCCGTCAGCCCCCCAAAGACGTCAAGGTCAAGCCCGCCGAGTTCGTCACCCGCTGTGCCATCGACGGCAAGTTCACCTTCGTAGACCAACGGTGAGTATTCCCAGTTTTCCCATCTGTCCATCTGTACAAATTTCCCCTCTTTCTACCTGTCACGAGTCCGGTGGGTCTCACTGGTGGGGGCGTGTCTTGGTGAGCAGGACTCCCTAAGCATGAGCTTCATCAGCTGTCAGTTAAGATAATCCTTTCTGTCTTTGCCATTGTTTCTCAGAAGGAGCTGTGTATCTTGATGGCATCATTTGAAAAGCCCTTCTCATTCTTTGGGAAGTAATTTCATACGACAAGTATAGTGAATCATTTTACCTCATTTCTTACATGTGTGACTGCTGAACTTTACATGTGGGAGAGAGACTCTTTAATTCATCAGTATATTTAACCCGCACAATCCTGAGAGAACATGAAAAAGACAGAAAAGAAAGTAAGAATAACTTAACTCTCTCTTCACCTTTTTCTCATTCCCAGAGCGACGACCGTCATCGGTTATTTGCCGCAGGAAGTTCTCGGCACCTCGTGTTACGAGTACTTCCACCAGGACGACCTGCAGCACCTCGCAGAGAAACATAGGCAAGGTGATGGAGCAAAGCAGCCACATGTGGCTCTTACTTCTGGTTCAATTCTAAGTAGAGTTGACATAATTTTACCTAGAAGAGCTAGGAGTTAAGGGGACATATTCTCACTTGTACAGTGTTTTTGAACATATATTTGGGTACCCTGAGTGTCTACTGACCCACAAAATGTGAAATAAATCCATCCAGTCCTTTGTTTGTGGTCTGCATAAGTCTTACAACACAGAGAAAAATGCCCCGTTTCACATTTTCTCATTTTGTGATGTCACAGTGGGATTCTGGTAAAAAAAATCCCCTCCCCTCTCCTGGTATCTCCACCCATGGACTCCACCCCCAGCCTAGAACAAAACTTGTGTGCAGGTCTGCCATTTGTCTGTCTGCTACAGAGGTGTGATGTCATGGGGCTCACTGGATTTAAAGAGACACACACACCAAAACGGAGCGTTCTGAGAGAGCTGGTTTATACAGGCTCACAAACCTCCTCTGGTGCTTGATTCATGTTATATTTTGACCAAAGCACAGCACAGATGTTTCATTTAGACCACAGGGGGACTGTTTGAAAAGATGGAGGAGGGGGAGAATATGTCTCTTTAAAGAAGAAGTGACCTTTTTCTGATGAAGTACTGGCTTTCAGCGACTTTGTGATAACACTTGTGTCTCATCTTTTGGCAGCACTTCGAAGCAAAGGGAAGATCGAGACGCCGTGCTACAAGTTCAAAACAAAATACGGCCCCTACGTTTATCTCCAAAGTCAGTGGTTTAGTTTCACGAACCCATGGACCAAAGAAGTTGAGTTTATCGTGTCTTCAAACAGAGTCGTCTCGTAAGTGTTGAGTCATATTTGAAGGTTTCATTCAGAGTACCGATGCATTGTTACTAACAGAGGAAGGTTTTAATAAGTACAGCCAAATAATATACACATACTATGACTTCAGATCATTGTGCCAAAACAGCATTAATACTCACTTTCACCAACAGGGGGCCTAATCACACGAAAGAAAAAGAAGCAGCAAGCTCAAAAGCAATTCAAGGTAAGAAACTCACTGTGGATCCATGCAGGCTTTTATTGTTTTTCTGTGATTTATTTTCAAAATGTTAAGATTGATTTTTACTGTCCTCTCTCCACAGAGGACACAAAACAATTACCCATAATTCCTGGCCTTGCCAGCAGTGTGGGGACGATGATATACGCAGGCAGTATAGGGACCCAGATTGCAAATGAACTCGTCGACACTTACAGGTTTGTTGTAGAAATAAAAGTCGAAGTAGAGATAAGTGTAATCTCATAAAGAGTGAAAAACTGAGTGAGGCAGATAAAGGTTTAGAATATAAATAAAGATATTGAACTAGTCACATGACCATATGTTATTTAAATACTTATAATAAGAATTTTTGATGGGTTAAAAGAACATTTAATGATTGTATTTTTGTTTCTGATCAGGGTGAACTCTTCTCCATCAAGCGGAGCTTCCAGTCCGTTTGGAGTGGCCCAGGAGAAATGTCCACTGGTTTCTCCTCAAACCAACAGGAGTGTGAGTGACTGCTTTATCATTACAGCACATTTAACGTGCAGAATATTTAACATGCAGCATTTAAAGCTCCTGTGAGGAACTTTTGGTTTGTGTAGATTCTCGCCTGTGGACGAGTAGTACCTTTAATCTCTTCCTCATTTGGTCTTGCACTTGTGTTAATAGTGTTTTGTGACTAAAAAAAATCAACCCACTGTCCTAAAAGCAGAACGTATAACTCACAGTGATTCTTTGCCGTGGAGAATGTAAAAATAAGACAGTTTTGCAGCCCGTTTTGTCAGACACCTATCCTGAAGAAGAAGGTAAAGGCTACTGCAAGTCAGGAACACTCTCGTCATAAATGTAACCATTTCACTCCAAAAATGGAAAATACAGATTTTGTATCTGAAGGCTCTGCTCGAAGGATGCTCTCTGGGTTAGCTGAGCAGCATGCCAAAGCTTTCCAGGTACTGAGTGCTACACTCTCCCTCCAATTTCTGAATCTATTCACTGTCCTGTCTCTAAATAAAATAAAACCTTAAAAAAGAATGTGTTGCAACATTCATGTAGATTTTTCTTTTAATGCAAATCGATAGTGACATACCAGCATTTGATTTATGCTAACGTTGATGCTGTGCTCCATCGATATGCAAATCAAAGCAAGTGACTCATACATTTGATAATTACAAACAAATCAATGTTGACAGGATGATGATGTAGACACAAAATACAAAAACAGGTCAAGACCAAATGATTTATTGATTTTTGGGCTTGTATCACATAAATTTGACGTGCTGTTGTTACATGCAAAGTCATCTTGTTAGAGAAAATGGAGTCGTAGTTTCATCTTTATAAGTGTCTGTGTATGTTTTTAAGCCTCATTAAAATGGAAGACGTGCTTTACTGATAACATTCAGATTAAAACAGGGACTACAGCTTCTGAGTTTAATTACACACCTGAGTGGAGAAAGGTGAAACGTCGGGCCCCGTGCAGTGGTTTAACATTACACGACTTGTTTCAGGTGTCCAGCAGAGACGAGGCAGCAGGCAGTTCATCAGTGTCCCACTCCGACTCGGGGACAGGAGCCGGCGCTAGCAGTGGAACTTCTGAAAGTACAGGTACTGGCCCATTTTGGTTTCAACACTTTTTTTATGGCTCAATTTGTTTAGATCAGTCAAGTCTCTACAAGATTCAAGAGAAGTAAGATTAATCTTTTATCATCATTAGCTGCTTCTTACCATAAAGTTGTCCTTATTTGGAATCAGGAATATAGTAAATGTGCAATTTTTAAAATTGAAGATCTTTCCTGCGTTGCCTGTTCACATACTGGATATATATGGGCCACATTAAGGGCGAAAAAAATCTGAGATTTCAAGATTAAAGTCATAAATTTACCAGAATAAAGTCATACATTTATAAGATTAACGTCGTCTTCTATCAGAAGAGCAGCAGCCGCCTGTACGAACATCAGGGAACGTGGAGCATCTTAGGAAGTTATACTTTAGTAAATACTTTTTCGGCAGCATCAGCATCAAATTGTCATGTATATCAGGGATCTGAAAAGATACTTCAAGTACCTGGAACTTTTCTGAAGAAAGAACCAAACTGACTTGGAGGAAATATTCTCTTTGAGGGTTCTCATATCATCAAATTTGCGCAGGCTGATGGCCGCTCTTCTGGTCCAACCTTTTTAGGATAATCATTTTAACCATAGCCTCATTAAAATTATTATTTTAGATTAATTTAGATTAAATATAGTAAATTAACAACTCCATTTCTGGCTTTATTCTCGTAAATTTACGACTTTAATATTGAAATTACATTTTTTTCCCCTTTGACGTGACACTAATACTCCGTCATACTTAATGCACTCCACAGTGGGAAACTTTCCCTGTTGAAGGGACACACACAGACAGACAGACACACACACACACACACACACACACACACATACACACACATGAATAGATACTTTTGGATTTTTTGTCATTTTAAACTGAAATGACAGTACAACTGAGTTATTTAATTCAGACAGTAAAGCTACCGAGGCCCGTCCTTTGCTCTAGCTAGAAATGAACACTGCAACGAGTAATAGAAGGTATAATTATTGCAGATAGTTTCTAAAATGTACACGCTCTGTTCCACTTAGGTGAGCCGTCCCAGCTGGACTTGGACAACATGGTGGTGCCGGGCCTGAGCAGCTTCAGCAGCGATGAGGCAGCCATGGCGGTCATTATGAGTTTGCTGGAGACGGATGTAAACATGGGTCAATCGGGGGACTTCGAGGACTTACACTGGCCTTTCTAGAAGGGGCACAGACTCCCCGCTCCCTTTTTAAACGCTCTTGTACCGCTTGCAGAGAAATGGGACTTTCAGTCGCTCATCTCATGACCGACTGATCTGGCCTTGCACAATTGAACCCACTGAACATGTACCAAAGGTCGCAAACATGTCGCACTTAAGAAAGCCTAACAGACACTCGACAAGGTAATAGGAATTATTACGACTGTGATTATCCTGTTGGTCCCCCCTGGCTTTAAGAGAAGTTTGGTTTGTGTCCCTAAAGTCTGCGGTGATTCAGTGTCTTCCTTAGAGACGCTTAAACGCAGACTCTCCACAGTAGGACGGTTTATCCTCTGCCTGCTCCCAACAAGTGAGCGAGGTCTGGAGGAGAATCAGACTCCTGCCACGTGCAGCGCTGCTAGTGAAACTCCTCAAACCTTTGACATCTGCGAAACCTTTGGTACCCAGTGATGACTTGCATGTTTCTCACAACATGGTCTGATTGTTCCATTTTTTTTTTACGCTGTTTTTTAATGATCCCCTACAGAAATATTTAAGTTATAAGTGAAAATGCTCTGCAGAGAAATATTTGTCTGCTATTGTGTAAAGAAAGTACAGAGGAATGTTTAGGAAAGAACCCCTTTCCTTACATGATTTGGAATCGAAGACTATTTGATTATGCAACCGTGGAAATGTATCTGCCCCACAACCCCGACCACTACATGTCCAGTTACAGCCCGTAAAGATTCTGTATTTTATATTCAAAAATGATTCAAAAGTCATGTCTGTCATTCAAAAGATTCAAAAGTCATACACCCGCCAAGTGTTTAATGATCCTGTAAGATTTATTTTAAAGGAAACATTTTTTCCATGTTTCATGTTTCGTCCTACTTTAGGGCTGCTTCTAAAAAAATCAATACTTGAATAATAACTCCTGTTTACAGTTTTGGTCCCAGTTAGCACTGAAACCTTCTACCAACTTTCCACCAAACCTACCACAAATACCAACAAATCTATGTCCATGAAAGAAGCTTAAAGCGTTTACGGCAAAAGCACCGTAAATAAGCTCAGCCGTCATCATGTCTTTGTAAGTTCATATTGAATTTACATCAGCGTGAGCTCCACATAAAGACAGTCAGACATGCACAAACACACTGTGCTGCGCCTGCCCATTGCTCAGCTGATTCTGTCTCGTCCCCTGTAACGCATGTGTTACTACGCCCCTGTAAGTTACAGAGGGGGGCTCACTTCATCCCCCCATTATTCCCATTGTGACATTTAGATTAAAGGTGAAACGTAACAGGGAGGTACGCATTGCGACTTGAAACAGCAGTGTGAACAGGGCTAGCAGGTTGCTAGTGGAAAAGGAAAGCGCTGTGATATCCTTTTAAAGGTAGCGCAAATTTACCCCAAAATTGTTTTCATCTTGGATTTTCTTCAAACTTTTTGGAAATTACATTGAGCAAACATATGCTACAATACATAGCCTAGCTTCCTCGCCTGCACTCAGGCTGTTTTCTCCATGTGAGCCGAGCTGACCAACATCTGCGGTGGGCTAATTGACATACTATTGACAAGCACCTCATACAACCCCACTTCAAAAATAAGCCAACTATCCCTTTAAAATAAACATCACATGCAAACATCTCAAATCTTAGCAAATGTATTTGTGAAATATCTAGTCAAACATGTCTCATTACACTTACCATGAACCACATTCACCAGGCAGGTCCAGATAAACATCTTATTTCAAGGTTATATAAAGCTAAGAACAAGGCCTGATTTGCTTGCAATAAGTAAAAAATATCTGCAAATGGGGCGAGCAAATTTGACTTTTTTAAGGAAGAATGGGCGACTTTTTGATTCAGTAGACGTCACCGTTGAGCACCAGCATTAAACCAAAACAAACCACTCCGCCATACTGAAGCCTCCGCTCTCCTCCAGCAACACACCTCCAACCTCTCTCCACTTGTGTTCACACAAAGGAGTTATCAATTAGAACGCACTATAATTAAGCAGCGGACTAAATTGTCTTTTGCTCGAGCTGCAATCACCTCTGACCTGCATTGTTGTGTTAGCATGCTAATGTTAGCACACTTTGGTTAACTCGTAGCTTCATATTTCACATACATTTACACAGAATGACCGAGATCTAAAGACACTCACATGACATCCAAATAAGCAGTGAGTATGTTATTCTTCTTTTCTCCAGTCCTTGACTAAAACATGATGTAAACACGGCTCTGACAACTGTATAGCCGGTGAGACTCATGCCTCTCACTCATTGTAGTCAGACTCAGAGAGACATTTACACAGGATATACTTGTTTTCTGCTGTATTTATAGTGTATGTAATATGTCTGCCTTAAGTGTGTTAGTACATCTCATTTCAAAGAAACCTAAGCAAAGCATTGGCTGATATTTTTTTACTTATCACAAGGAATCACGCCATTGTCTCTTTATTTTAACACTTTGAAGTGCGATGTTTATCTGGACTTGTAAAGTGAACATATAACAGATATTAGACAAATGCACTTCTAAGATTGGAGCTTTGCAGTGTAGCTTCAGTTTCAAAAGCGTAACCAGTCATTGCAACCTTTACAAAAGAAGTATTTTGTGTGTCTGCATTGCCTGTTTCTCTTGCCCACTTTGCACTCTTACGACTTGCATACCTTGGACCATATTTGGCGACCATGTTTTTTTTTCCTTCAATCATGCTTATACTTAACCATCTCATATTTATGATGTCACTTTACCAGAACAATGTGACAGCAGAGCAGCGTGCTGAGAGCCGCACCCTTTAATTTAAAAAAAAAGAACCATGGAGAAAAACCAAAAACACATTTTCAGTGATGGTGGTCTTCACAAGGAGTATCTCTCTATGTTTCTGTTTCAGTTTCCAGTGTGCACTAAATGACTGAGCCCTCTTATGCCTATACTGCGTGATCACATACCATATTGTTCTCCAGAGAGGTCTGTGAAGGTCCAGGTCCTGGAGAAATAAGAAAGGTTTACGACTGCTGGGAGAATGTGTTCCAGTGTTGACAAGGGACAAGCCAACATGTTTGTTTTGGGAGGACTGGTTTTAATACTCTTGTGTTTTTTATACTGCCACACTTCATCTATTGTGTAGCCCCTAAATCGTATTGAAACAGCCTATCACTGCGCAGAAGTTAGCCATAGTATTTGTATTACTAGGGAGGCAGTAATGTTGCAGTTGATTTACTATTTGACTAGTTGACTATTTCTGAATGTCCAATTACATCAACTGTGTCTTTAAAAGAAACTCCACCTTAAAGCATGTCTTTTGTGTCTAAACAGCCATCAGTGGAGTTGATTTGTATCTTTTTCCCCCCTTTACAGATAAAGAAACTGGTAAAATTCTTAAAGTCTTGACAAAACAACAGAGTTTAATAGCAAAACAAGTTTGACCTTGAAGAAAACGTACAGTTCTAGACACTTTGAGAACAATTTTAACGTCCTTATTACCTTAAAAAAGCCCACAATGCATTGCAACTACAGGTTGAGGTAGCAGCAAAAGGTTGTGATCACGATCATCTTGAAACACATTATCAAAACATTTCTCTTTATGACTTAACTTGAAAAACCAGTCGGTCAAAGCCAGTCCCTTGTGGTTACCGTAGGGAAAGTGAGCCCCTGTAAATTATTTTATCAAAGATAAACTCTTGAAATGTACGCAGTATGTGAGGGTGGATTTTTTTCCTTTTTAAGCTCGGTGACTGGCCTTCATACAGCACATGTAAACTCTGGTTATATCACTGGTTCCTCTAATCTTGAAAGCATAATGTGATTGTGTTGCCTTGAGCTTGTTTCGGACAAGGTGTAATTATAAGTCAGCCATTATGCACTGTCCTTGGCTTTAAAAGCGGAACTGTTGGTACTGGATGCTATTTGCTGTTGCCATCAGTGCCATTTTAAATGGGCACCCTTAAAGCATATTGAGCATGACCTGCTATCAAAAGAGGAAATGTCTGCTATTTGTATGTACAAATTGTCATTAATGTATCTGCTGTAATGAGGAATGGAGGTTGAAGTATTTGAAAGTAAAGCATTTTTACATAAAAGGTCTGAACTCTTTGTTGTTCTCATAGATACAATGTTGTCATGTAGTGAGTAATTATTCTTATTACAAGAAGCTGGACAACTCTTCCTTTACTAAACATCTTAACTGATTCATGCTTAACCACTGTGGGGAAACAAAGTGAAGGGGGTGTAAGTAGTCAATAGAAAGCTACAACGTGTTGTATGATTTGAAGGTAAATCCTTCTTTATTTGTACGACATTACAGATTTAATCACAGTCTGCACATCAATTATTAATAAAAAAAAGGTTTCAAAGCAATTAGAAAGAAATCTAAATGTAGGAGGTGTCAGGATACAAGATTTTCAGACTAAAACATTACGCAGATGCTACTGTACTGTTTTGTTAAGATTGAAAATGCTCCATACAATGTGCAATATTTTGAATATTTCAAGTGTTTTCCAAAGGTTCACCCTCCACTAACAATGTTTCAACACTACAGATTGTTTAAGAAAGATTTACACGTCATCATTCGGGGTGGGAATCACCAGAGTCCCCACGATACGATATTATCGCGAATAAAAATTCTATTGCGATTAAGCTTTTTAACTGCATGTTATGTCCACTACACTAAACTAAATCAAGAGCTGTTTAGTCAAATAAGAAAAAATTCTCAGTATGTTCATCTCACTTCAGTCTTTTTATTTGTATTTCAGTCTAATTGAACTTTAACATGAATTCTTAACAATGCAACTTGTTCAAAATTAATTGTGCAACCCCTTCAGCAGTTATAAATGTAAAAAGCTTATCTTAAATATCATATTAAAAATATCCATACTTGGCCGCCATATATAATATCGCCACACAAAATATCACTATACTATACTGTATCCGTTTTTGACCCAGCCTCCAGTAATTATGAAGTTTTGCACAGGATACAGTGGCACTGTGATTAACTGGCAGACAGTCCAGACTGTACCCTGCCTCTCGCCCAATGACAGCTTGTAAACGGCTTTCAGCCCCTCGTGAGCCCAAACGGTAAAAGTGGGATAGACAATGGATGGACGGACAGAATACACTGCTTCTCACTGTTCACATATATTTGGCAATTGTTTCCTTTAAGTCTAACATCTATGTTTTGGTAGATTATCTTCTAAATAGGGGGGGAGCCCTAGGAACAAAATAATCGAAACCGAGCAGTCGTGTCTTGATCATATTACAAATCCTTGTCTAAACTTCCCATAACATCATTTTTTGTGTGAAGGTTTGAAGCTAACGAGGCAGCACATTTTTCTAGCCCTGGAGAGATAGAACAGTGGACCTATGAACACACCGAACCTTGGAAACAACTCAGACAATTCAAAAACATTACACACCTCAATACTCAAAGCCTTACGATATTGTATGTAGACGAGCAAGGGAACCATTGGCAGGACTGGGAGGTAAGATATCACTGCTGGCACCACCACAACCAAAACATTACACACTGCCTGTCTCTTTAGGGGGGGCTCCGAGCAGGCTTGGTTTCCCAACATGGTATGGGCGGGGCTTTGCTGCATCAGTGACCAGATCATGCCACAAAGGCAGGCGAGCATCAGGATGAAGAGGCAGGACACTGTGATGGAAACCGGAGCCATCATGACAGTCATATCGTCCACTATGACTGTGAAAAACAAGGTCATGAAAATGTCAATTACAAAAAAAGTGTTGTTTGTAACTGACTGCTACATTGTACTTAATGGCAAATTCAGAAATTTAACACCATCATGGCACCGTGGCTGCTGCTAAGATGATGGTGTCATTGCTAAATTTGTTGCTCAACACTTACCTGAAGCCATACAGAAGGATAAGGTGATCACCCACACCACAGCAGAAACAACCATTCGGTACTCCCACTTCCTGACTTTCAGATACAGCACAGGTTTAATAACGGCCAGGCAGCGCTCAATACACATACAGGACAGCAGCAGGGGACAGCCAATCAGGTTGAACATCTTGAAGACATCTGTTGCTGTTTCCCAAGGATTTGTAACATTGTCATGTGGCCCGGTCGGGGAAAAGTCTGGGTGATAGAAAATTGCAAATCAAAATTTGTACATGACTTTGAAATCAACTTTGATGTCTGAAGTAAACCCTTGTGAAGTGAACTGATTTGATTGTGCTTTGTTTGTGCCTGCTCCAATTGTGTGTAATATGTTGTATGGCTGTTTTCCTTTTGCTTAGGCCTGTTGTAATTACAAATGTAATGTATTTTATTGTATTTTAAATCTTAACAATTGCATTTTAGGTTGCCTACTGGCAACTGGCCGGGGACTACAGCTGGAAATTAGCCGTAAAGGCTAAAGCTGCTTCTTTTACTGTACAGTGAATTAAAGGGGAATGTCCACGAAACAATAAATAAATAAACTAAACTAAACTAAGTCCAAATAAGAATCAGAAATGATATGCTGAGTTCTGGATTGTCTCAGTTCTTGCGTCCTTCTTTGGGACCCAAAATGCTAAATATTGATAATGATGGTGAAGACATTTGTTACAGCGCTGTTGCGTATTTGTAATGTGCAAACAGCTATAGCCTAAAAGTTGCTATGCTGATGATACTCATCTATTTAGTTCAAGTAAAAAACTGAGTAGGCTGCCTGTTGGAAACAAAGCTCTATTTTTTTCTTCAACAATTAAAATAATAATTTGCAACATATTTGGTTTGAGGAAAGGTGATGTTACAATTCAGCTCATGAAAAATGTTCTCTTTTATGACTCTCTGGTTCTTTCCTCAGTCAAAGCTCAACACTAAAATATCGCCTGCTGTGGATCCAGGTATAACTTTGAAGGAAAAAAACAAACATATTGAATATTAACCATTGTTTTGTTGCATGGTAATCTAATGAGGCCAGAGTTAATTCCCTGCCCTTTCTGCAGCGGGTGTTGTAAGCTCTCATGAGAAATCTCAAGCAGTGTTTACCTTGTCTTGTTTTGTTGTCTTCTTTCATCATCTTTGCATCAAAAAATAACCTAATGGGCATTATAGACAGGTAGATAAGATCCATCACAACAACATTCACACCTAGAACCTGAAAGACAATGGTTCAGACATGTGGTTAATGTAAGTTAAAGTAAACATAGGGAAGTGTGTGTTGTATGTATTGATTATTTTCAGGTTTTAATCAACTGCCAAATGAACAGACGTAAATCAGCCAATGGGGTGGGATGTGTTGATGCTGAGCTGCGAACACTACCTGTGAGGCAGACAGTGGTTTCCTCTCCTGCAGAAACAGCCAAAGCAGGGCGGTGTTAGCCAACACCCCGGTGAACAGAAAGAAAATGTCAGAAATCAACCAGATCTGCTGCCACCCAATCTCTTCACAGTATTCGTGGATGGCATTGACAAAGTTGGGAGTGATCATTTCTCTGTAAATATCCGGACCTGCCAAGACAAAAATAGTTATTATAAACATTTAAATCAACCTTTGTTTCACAAGAAAATTGCAAAAAATGTGTCATATGTTCATTACCTAAGACCTGCAATGTATCCACATGTAGCAGAGCAGAATTTAAAAGGTAGGCGATTTTCCTTATACTCGCTTGTATTTGGCACTTGAGCACATTGGGAGGGTTATTTTTGTCTTTGTGCACACGGAGAGTCATTGACATTTTGAAGCATCCCTGCCTGCCGACTTTGGAGGGTATTTTCAGACCTTCACCAGACGCCTGTTTTGTTCTTTGAGCTTAGTGCCTCGTTTCAACAACAAAGGTGAAATAAGTGCAGAAATAAGAGAGAACTGGATTGCGACAGATTGCTGTTTCTTATATTATGTTCTTATGAGTGCGATCAGTGAAATTGTTTGATTTAAGTTTTTGACAACACCTGGACAAGGAAAAGAAAACCTCTGTACAGCTTCTGTCACTGATATAATGTTTACTTTGAAGGAAATAACGTTTTAATTCGGTCTTATTTTAATTTGAAACATGGGTTTAAAGCTACAAACTCTGGTGATCCTTTATTACAAATTAAGGTCATCTTAGTTGTATATTGCATGAAGAGTGACTTTCCCAAAGTATCTTGAAGCATGAGTAAAGTTTTGAAAGGAAGAAATTGATTTTTCATTAACCCTTCAATGGGACAGTAAACAGGCTGTGGGCTGGAGGGGCAAAAAGTCAAAAAGAAAAAATCATGAAATGGTGTTATTTTAGCCCGGATACAATAGAAAACAACAATAAATTAATTTCCCATGATATGTATACATGTCTGCCCATTTAAGAGTGTTCCCCCATCAAATCTTCCCTTTTCAGCATTTCTTTGTTTAAAGATCCCTGATGTTAAAACGTGTTTAAGCCTCAGCGAAACAAAAAGTGGAAGACTTACCTTTTTTTGTGTCTTCTTTCTCCTCGTTACTCTCTTGCAGATTTTAGAAGTTATCTCTTCCTAACATCTGAGAGTCCCTTCAACCCAGCACTAAAGCCATACGTCCTACACATAAAAATCACAACTATCTATAGGGCAGACTAAACAAATTAGCACGTCTTTAGTGTTGATGTTCCACGCTTAGATGCAAATATATGTCGTCCATATATATCTTTGCATTGCAGGTGACTTACATCGTATGCAGTCTGGTTACTGACTGATTTTACTAGCAGATCTCCTTTGCATGCAGAGTGAGCATCCTCTGCAATTATAGTTCACCCATGTATTTGACTGGGCCCAATATTACTTTTTATGTATGTATTTGTTCCCCTTCTTTCTTTTTTATTAGTTTCTTTGCTTCTTCTCTGTATTTCTGCTTTCTACAGATAAACCTGAAATACAGACCCCCATGTTTTAAAAGGGTCAGACTGAAGGACTCTTGTAGACCAGTCAATCCTAAACGTGGATATGGAGCTGAATCCCAGATCAAAGTGCGCTGAAAGCACTCTGAATATTTGTTTGGTGTTTGAATGTTGTGCCAAAATGTTTGTATCTATCGTCTTTAATTTTTTATGTTGCAAATGGAGCCACTGTGACACCAAAGTCCTAACAATCAATCAATGAAAATCTTGTCATCAAATTTTATAAATTGACTCCTTATACAGTAGTTGGTTTAATATTGTTGTTGGTCTAGCTTAGCTGGTGGAAAATATGAACTAGCAAGAATGGTGAGCCGATTTGAGGTCAATCTCATTTTGATAAACTCTAAATCTGTGGATTTCCACCACCCACTACTTCATAAAAAATATCAAAAATTGGGTTACAATATTTTTCAACCAATCAGATTAATTTAATGAAGAATTATGAGTTTGGACCTCAAAAGATACAAAACATGTGACAGAACAAAGAAAAAGAACAAAACCAGCATGTTTTAAAAGCGCTTCATAGACTTTTTGACACTATGATTTCCAGGCATTATTAACAATCCACTGAAAATGGCTCTGTGACCCACTTTTGGGTCTCAACCATTATTTTGGAAAGATTTGAATCATATTGCAGTTCCGCATTGGCTTCACCTTTCAACACCGGAGGTTGCAGCTCTCGACCCACACCAGTTGACATCCACTGCTGTAGACAAGTCCTCCTTCTTTTCAAAAACCTCTCAGTTAATATGTCTGTTTCTCACTTGGAATCAGTGTGTGTAGGATGTGATGATGACCACCTCGTTTAGGCCGTAATAGTAAAGGGAGGTCCAAACTGTACATTTGCATTTCAGTAATAATCTATCTATTCCAAAAACAATAAACACAAAAACCATGGAGAGAGACTCTGCCTTCCACCCAGGTGCAGCCAGTCAGAAATCACAGCTAGGTGGACAGGCTCCAAGAAACCAGCAAGAAAGCCATAACAGACCACCAGAGGGAGCCAGACCTCTGAAACTGAAAGAACAGAACAACAGTACAGGCAAGAAGAGCATGGCCGTCTTTTAGATGTACATAGAAGTATGAAATGTCCTGTGGAAGCTCATTTCATTTATGTGTAAATATATATGATGGGGGGGGCTTTATTGTATGGGACAGTGAACGAAGTAGGATATCAGGGAGAAAGAGTATGACATGAAGTAAATTAGCCAAGGGTTAGATTGGAGGCCAGGCCACCCGCTTCAAGTACTATAGCCTCCATCCATGGGGCACACGGCTCAACTGCTAGTCCAACCAGCGCCCCACTCTCAGCGAGAACCTCCCTGGGAAAATCAGCTAGCAGCCCATCCTGATTCCTTTTTCAGCATGAACTATCTGAAATAAAGGGTTTTTGTTGTCATTGTTTTTTAAAGTGTATTTAGGTATTTTAATTAATTTACAAAAAAAAGGGAATTGCATGATTGACAAATGTAAGTGAATGTAATAGTGTTGGACAGCAACTGGGCTCAAGTGTACAATGTCCTTTCTGCTGGTGAATGTGCACGGGAGCATATAAATTAGTTCTCCTGATGGGGACTCACTTGCAGGTGATTCCTGAAAAGGCAAACACAACCAACCCAAATCAAGTTAAACATCTCCAAGTCAGTCTGCAAGTACCGGCTGGAACCCTATAAACTGCTAACTGCAGAACGTAGGAGGGAAGAGATGCACAATAAATGAGGTCAAGGTGGAGAAGCTGAAAGAAGATAGTGGGAAGAGTTGGGCCAATGGGTAAGTTCAGCAACTTCCTTGTTTCATTTTATTTTTAAATGTTTAATTTCTTGGACTCTGATCCCAGAAAGCATTTTGTTTCTGCCTTTAAAACATAAATACATCTAAAGTCTGCATCTGGGTGCAAAAAAACTGTAATATGGTTGTACTTCCACCTTTCATCATGGCGGCTGTGTCTCAGTTGGCAGAGTCGGTCATCGCCCAACCGGAAGGTCGGCGGTCAATCCCCAGCTCCTGCAGATACATGTCTGATGTGTCCTTGGGCAAGACACTTAACCCCAATTTGCTCCCACTGCTTCGTCTGTGGTGTATGAACAGGATTAGTTACTCCTGATGGTCACTTTACACAGCCATCTTTAGCATCAGTGTGTGACCTGCGGTGTAAAAGGGCTTTGAGGAGTCAGAAAACTTGAAAAGTGTGATACAAGCTCACGTCTATTTACCATCATTATCAGAATTCTCCACAAACTTGCAGTATTATCCAACTTGTAGGATTAAAAGCAATATTCTTAAAAAAAATATATATATATCTTATTTACTCCCCCCCCCCCCCCCCAGTCTTGTGCCGTGCACACCATGTGAGATTTTGTTTTCAGCCTCTCGGGTCCAGCCACCAAACGAGGTCATCTCCTCATTTTCAACTGTCATGACACTTTGATGAATTACTCCTCCTCCACCAGTTTCTCGTTCTTCCAACAACGTAGCACACATTGACACACGCTGAACCTTTCAACTAAACAAAACTCTCTTTATTCAGCTTTTTATGGCAGTCTCATTAATGTACAACGGTTTACAGTAAGAGAAATATTAAGGACCCACCAGTCCAAGCCATTTCACGCCCCCCCCCCCCCCCCTTCAAAAAATGTAAAGTGCAGTTTGTTAGTGTGTCTACTCGAGTCCTTCTATTCAAAATAAAGAAACGTTCACACAGCTAGTGTGAGCTAAAGCTCAAACAGGGGAGGAGCTCTTGGACACAGTTTATGATGCATGTACATAGAGGGAGAATAACATAAAGGTTTAAGGTCAATTCTTCATTAGAAAACAATGAATTTAGGAGCAAAATCCTTATTTACTGTAAATAAGCGGACATTTAGAGAATTCAAGTGAATACACGATTCATTAGCTTCTACATCTTACATACCAGTGCATTTCTCTGCAGGTTGTAATGCATCGAGGACGACGCAGCAGCCTCACAGACTCTCTTACATCTATTAAAACCTGACACCTTTACAACCTTGGTAACACCACACATGAGGTCTTTCTAAAACTGAGTAAATTTGCATTATTCTCTGTATCGAAACCCTTTCAAGGCTCAATATCACTCTAATTGCATCAATTGGCGGTACTTTTTTCCAAGTATTATCCGGAGTTGGATTTCCAACTCAATGTTTTAGCCTTTTATACTCATAGTTGTTACATCTTAAACAGTCAACCTCCGAACCAAAAACAAAAGCAAGAATATTTATGTGACAAAACCAGTTAAAGCATTAAAGAGAATAACACAGACACAGGCACAAACAAAAAAAAAGTTAATTTAGTTCTTGGTTCGGGTGAAGAATTCAATTTAAAGCAACAATATGTCACTTTTCACTCACAGTAGTAATGTTAAAGTTGATCTAATAGTCGGCTACAATAACTTTCAACAGGGAGAATGGCGTCTATCTCATGTCCACAGAGTGGCCCATTTTCAGCACTATGTAACTTTGGCAGCGGGCCGCGGGTCTCTCATGGAAAGTGCGTACAGCTTTACGGCTTGAGTTCACATTAGCCTTCAGCTAAAAGGAAGCCAGTGAGCCCGTCCTGGTTTGATTGCAATGGCTGCAGCTGAGAGACCAAAGAGGACGGTGACTGATGAAGCTACACAAAAAAAAAAAAAGCGAGTGACCGAGCAAAAAGACGGACTGGCTTTTACACGTTGGCGAGAACTTGGGGTAAAAGTAGACTGCAGGCTTGACACCAAGCTGGCTTTGTCAATACAGTTTTACGACAGTGCAGTTGCGCTCAGAGACCTGTGGTGGGTGCCGCAGCCTCCATCATGTTGCTTTAAACCCCATGCATACAGCACAAGATCGGATGCATTCAGTGGTTGCAGCAATTACAGCATCTAAATCACAGTGTTGTCCTATACCCATAAAATCAGTCTGTTTGCATGTAAAAGTTAATTAGAGCTGTAAAGTGACCAGAAACTTTCATTACTTTGCAGATTTGTGAGATTTCAGAACAGTATGTTAAAGTCTTAAATCAAAAATATATCTATATGTATATATATTTTTCTAGAATGTGTGGTCGTCAGGAAGGCCGATATGAATTATTTTATTAACAATAAAACCATTAAACTATTTTTAAAAAAGTATCATTACTGTGTGGTTAGCTGCCTTAACAGTGGCGGCCATAAAGTCCTGAAGGATCCTTCAGTGGAGGTTGTTCTTCCACAAACGTCACACTTCAGAGTTAAACTCCCGCGTTCCCTTGACGACTGGCTACTTGAAGCTTTCTTGCAATTTTCTGACGGCTGAAATAAAGCAAAACTTGCTCCAAAGAACTCCTCCTGCGGGTTTAAGATCTAGAGTTTTCAGTTCTTCTTGTTGTGTCCAAAAATCCAGGAACAGTTCAGCAAGCATGCAGAAAAAAGGGGAGCTTCTACTCTGGCTGCATCTCCATCTCTACACCTACTTTTTATGTCTTTCTGTTGGCGGAAATGCGGATAAGGAAGAGTAAAAAAAGACTTCTTGTTCGCCATCTCCCTTCTTCTTCAACGTCTTCTGCAGGAGTAGCACAGCACCTGGAATATATTAAAGCTGGAAGATGTAGCTACTGCCAAGGGCGCTGTGGTGTCGGGTTAGGGTTGGGGTAAATGGGCGCCGGCGCTGGGTGGGGGTATGCCGGCACCGCCGTGTTGGGGTTTGGCGGGTATGTTGGAGTGGGGTACTGCCCCATCATGTGAGGCTGGCTGTGGGCGGTCGTGTGGGCCGGCGTGGAGGCAGCAGAGGTGGAGGACGGGACGTGCATGTAGAAGGGGGCTGACGGAGCTGAGGGGGCGGAGGGCGCCGTAGGAGTCGGGACCCTCTGCAGGACAACGTGCGGGTAAAGCTGAGAATCTGAGCGATACAGTGGCATGGAGGCCTTCATTAAACTCTCCTGACTCCTGTGTGGAAGACAGAAAAGAAGAGACAGAAATGAAGACTTCAAGTGTCAACTTAAATATAGTACTCCGTATCAGAACTAAAGCTGAACGCTGGGACACACTTTGAAACATTAACACCTGTCAGAACCAAACCATCCAGTGCAACAGTGTGTTTAATATCTTACAGGCCCATAAGCACCTTTCATGCATGCACTCCTGACAACTTCTACAAATGTCAGGGCAGCCTGCCCCTGACTCGTTCCTGGCTGGAGGCTCAACATGTCGTTTGAAGGACGCAGCAACAGAGTGCGAGGCTATCATGGTAGTTTCTGTCTTCTGAAATTCATTTTGTTGACGTCAAATCCACTTGTCAGTCTCACTTTTCTCAGAGTGACCAATCATAGTCGAGTCTGCAGCTTAAAAACCCTTTAAATATCCTGTGCCCCACTTTCCATTAGCCGTGTGCAGTGAGCCATGAACATCAATCCTTCTCTGTTTTGTTTAGTCAGTTTATCTTTGTGGGAGCTTAAATACTATAAATGTAAGTTTATTTATTTTGTTGTGTTCAGAGGTCGTCTGATTTCCATTTTTGAATGTTTTTACAATTTTTTTTTTTCTTAGGACTTGTTGTCCTCCACTGATTTGTTGTACGTAGTGTTTACCTTTGGTATCCTCTGTTCTCATATCCACTGAGTCCTGCGGTCAGGTAAAGCGGGCTGTCCGGGGCAAGACGGGGGTTCATCCTCTGGGACAGGTGGAAGATCTTTGGAGGGGGGAAAGACTCCCATTCACCCTCTTCTCTCTCCAGCCAACACTCGCTGCGCCGCGCCGTGCGTTTGTCTCTGCGCCTGAAGAGGAGACAGCTCTGTCAGCTCAGTGGTCCTCGTATAACGGGGAGCGGGTGTGACCACAGGGGCTTGGTTAACAAGGTAAATTTTGAACATCAATCTGTCCAGGCGTACCTGCTCCGCCCCTCCTTCTTGGCTCGTTCTCGACCGGATCGTTCCTGCAGGCAGCAGATGAGGAAGGACAGGGACATGGCGAGGATGACGATCCCACTCACCACTGAGGCCAACACGGCCACTCTCAGACCCCGGTCCTCAGGTCTAGGGATCGCTATGGGAACAAGGAAAAACATTTGATATTGGATTTGGATCCAGATTTTAACAACAGATCCTAGAAGATTACAGTGTTTGGCATCTAACATTTTCTTCTTTCTTGAAGGCAGTGAAGGTTTTGTCTTATTTCCCTCATCCAGTTGGAGAGATGTTGATTTCACATGTCGGGTTTAAAGTTTAACAGCAAAGGATGGAGATTGTCCCTGAGCATACAAAAGTTGACATGCATGGTCACCATGAGGTGTCTGACATGCAAGCTGCAGGCCGTTTACACTCAGATGTGAGGGTCCAACCAGGCAACATATTCACACAAGCAATCTTTTTATTTTGAGTTATGCCCCGGGTGGGGAGCTCACATGCTTCATGATGTATGCTGCATTTCTTTTAGGTTTGCAAATAGTTAAAAAAAGGAATCTGATAAATTGTTATCCTTTTACAGCTTCTCAATTGAACAGCTATGAAAAAAAGAAAGATGTTTATGAAGATTTGAAGGTTCATTTGGCCACATTTCAAAATAAAACAACAGACTTTTAACTTATAACTTAACTCAATTGTGTTTTTTAAACTTAGAATTTAGCCTGAAGTCCCTCTGGATTAACATTATTTTAAATTTTCATTTCACTGGAGAAATCATATGCCATGTTAATATGATAAATTGCAGTGAAGTAGTTCATAATAAGCTAAGCTCACTTTGTTATTATTCATTCAAATGATGTGTAGTGTAGCTAAAAATCAGTTAAATCCCTCAAAATAAAACCCTTACCTTCACACACAGGCAGGTAGTTGCTCCACTGCGCTTTGCCCTTCTTGACTATGCATTGTATTTTGTCGCTGCCGACCAGCTGGTATCCCTCTCTGCACCAGAAGGTCAACATGCTGCCGACGGACACGCCGCTGCCGCTCTCAACGTAGAAGGACCCTCGACGAGGAGGCAGGACAGGAGTACATGACAGACCTGAGGAGAGAGGAGACAAAACACAAGGTCATAAAACAGAGCATATAATAAGGATTAATATTGGTTCTGATTGAGTTTGGTGCCACTCAGTGTTTGTAAAATGCGAACATTTAAATCATGGGGGAGAACGCTTGCTATTGCATTGCTAATGGTGCCTTCAAACACGCACAAAATTCCTGAAAACAGTTTGGGATGTGTGAATGCAAACAGTCACATTTTTCCCTCTAACTTTACCCATCATTTTTACGACCAGCCCCCTCGTAAAGGTTTCACATAAAGTCAGGGTGAGCCAACTACAAAATTATTAAGGGATAAACTAAGGGACTGTGTTGCTTCATCCGCCATTTTTGTGTTGTTCTTTTACTCTCGACTCGTCGCAGCTTCTTCATCTCTTCAGCCTCAGATCACAGCATCAGCCATCGTCTAGTCAACGCCAAGTCTTCGCAGTTTGGTCAGCCTCTTCATCCCTTCAGCCTCAGACGACATCTTCAGCTGCTCCGGTCAACCCCATTCTTCAGTTAGACCGGCTTTCATCCCATCAGCCTCAGATGACATCATCAACCATCATCCGGTCTACCCCAGTCTTAACAGTTTAATCAACTTCTTCATCCCATATGACTCAGACACCATCCCCTGCTAAAGCCTCCACCACCAGTCTCTGGACTTCATGTGGGGCTAGATCTTGCCGCCACTCAGGGCAGACATCTTCGATCACTCTGTCTCTCTGTTGAGTTCAAACACCAAAGATTCTCTGACTATCATTCAATATCACATATGTAAAATAAATATTTGATTTTGATTACTTGTCTCTCCTGATTGAACTACAACTAACATTTCTAAACTACTTCAAGCTGCTCCAGTGAAAAGTTTAAAGGGTTTCAATTTACACCAGAGAACTTGTACATTAAAAAATGAGTTTTTTTTTTTTTTTACTTCAGCACTAAAAAAAGCAAAGGTCATTTTAAAAGTCAAAATACTTCCTATTGTCTTCATCCCATATCTTATCCTGCATTGCAGACGATTGTTGATTATTGCTGCCTTATGGTATCTCCATAGACTGTAAATAGGCTATTAATGGACGAAGCCTGAATTGGTCACCCCTCTGTTCCTGCAGGGGGCTTTGGAGTCCCATCGATGGCGGTCGCCATGCTGGAAATGCTGTCTCACCCTACTGTGGCGAGCCGCCTACATCCTCTTGGTTAGCCTACCTGTGCCGCTCGTTCCCTCGTTCCATGTCTTGTGACTGGTTGCTCTTTGGCCAATGAGCTCCCTGGAGTGGTGCTGCTTTGTTGATAAAAGAGGTGACGCAAAAACAAGATGGCGGCGCCCGTAAAACCTCCGTGGATGCCCCAGTCCGTGGTGTGTTAGTCCCTCTGAGATTAATTGTCGTGTTCTGTGTCGTGCTGTGCCTTTAATTCTGGACTGTCCTTTGGAGGATTTCCAGCAGAAAAAGAGGAGCCAGAAGATAGTTCGGGTCCAGGAGGTAAATCCCTTGTTGTTGTCTGTGGCTGAAGATTGTTGTGTAGAGTGAAGTCTCACTCGGTGGGCTAGTTTGGGACAACAGGTTGTCGAAGAGTGACACACGGACAAGAGGGCCCACTGTTGATTTTTTTTAGTGTTTTGTCGAACTGAATTGAACCATAGAACTGAACCCTATTTGAATTGAATTAGAGCAGTGCTTCCCAAAGTGTGGGCCGCGGCCCCCTGGTGGGCCGTGTGGGTACTGCAGGTGGACCACGAAAAGCCCTCCACCAATTGTAAAAATAAAAGAAATAGGCCAAACACAATAATGATGATTTACCATGAGTCAACCCTTTAAGTGATTAGTAAGGCGTGTCATGACTATCGTTGGACATATTGTTTAGTAAACCTTTGTGTCTATCTTGCCATAATATCATGTTGTAATGTCAAATAATTTACCATTACTGTAAGTTATAGCTGTAGTCCTAAAACATTTTTTAGAATGGGCCCCAGAGTAATTTTGTATTTCAAAGCGGGCCGCGGCAGTCTTAAGTTTGGGAATGGCTGAATTAGAGGATTATTTTATGTTGCTACAATTGTTTGAAAAAGCTGTGAAAAAGGGACGCATTTTGTTGATTGCTATTGGGATATTTTTTGTTTAATCCATTTTTCTTCCTTTGAACTGACTTTCTTTGTGTTGAATCCTTGTGTGGTTGTGTTGTTATGCTCGTTTTTCTATTTTACGAGGTGTTTTTGGTTTAAAGAAAATGAAGGTATCTTTGTGGTGGGTTTAAAAACATAGCCTACATAACAAACTTTCAATTAAGTTGTCGGTTGAAATACCGGCTGGTACCCCAAAAAAAACATTAAAACCGGCCTATGGCAGGATAAGAGCTGGAGCTGAGGCCGGTTTAAAGCCTCTTGATGAACCGTTATGCCCTCCTGTCAATCAGGTCAGCTACGAGCCATATTGTGAATAATGCTAATCCTTCATGGGACGCCGGTATAGTGCAGTGGTAGCCCGGGTTCGAATCTGACCCGCGGGTCCTTTTCCGCATGCCCTTCCCCACTCTCTCTCTCTTCCCAATTTCTATCTCTATCCACTGTCTATCTTTCAAATAAAAATCGAAACAATCAAAAAAAATGTACGGGGGGTGAAAAAAAATTCACAGTGTACTGATGATAACCTGAGCTAATCAGACACATTTTTTAAATTTTTTTAACCAGGCTTTAAACATGTTAATTTCTACTGTAAAAACAGGCTTTTTTTTTAATGTGTATGTGACTTCCGGTGCTTCTGTAGCCAGCCTTGATGAACTGCAGGATTTTGCACTTCAGAATTCTCTTCATTTTCCAACACCATCATAAGTTGCCACTTGGGCATTTCTTTTAAATTCACATTAATTTTTTGGCACTTATGACATGTGTTCCCATCCCTCCTGAAGAAATAGGAAATTATAAACCCGTTGAAAAAGGCCTCTCTCTAAGTGCACCACTTTCTCTTCTGCTTCTCTTTCATCTCAACCTCACTCTTTCTTCTCTTTCTTGTGTCCATTTTCTCTCCACTTTCCTGACAAACTCAGTCTCTGCTCCAGAGTGTCGGTTATCTTCACAGGGAGTCTGATACGAGCCGTTACACAGGATAGATGCAGAGAAACAGAGAGATAGAGAGACTGAAAAAGAACTATTTTTATCTCCTCATGCTACAATACACAAATACCTCAGAGGGGTCTTGTGATACAGCAGCTATTGTTAGATCATACTGCAGGGACTGTTGAGACTTTAATCTCGTGTAAAGCTACAGCGTCACAGCAGCTCCAATCTTCCCACATTATCCTGATAGATCCAACTGGAGTAAATACATATTGTTTATTTCTGCACCACAATATTAATTTACCGTAAATTATATCTTCGGTGGGTTAACAGGGATTGGGATCTTAGTAATTACTCGACCCACCTAAGTGATTACTGGCTTTTAAAAGTCACTTCATGGACTCAAACTTGTTAGACATTCAATTAAATCTAATACCACAAAAAAATAACCAAAATGGCCTCATGTAAATAGAAGCATTTTTGTTGATTTTGATGATTTGGTCGAGATGAAACTTGACTAAAATGATCAACACAAGCAAAGATTAATGAGGGCACAAGATGCTTTTTACTTTAAATATGTTTTCTTGGACTTTCTGAGAATATCTGCATCAAATCCACATCCTCATAGCTCGATCCAACAGCTTATCAAGGCGAGACAAACACGTTTATTTATAGAGATATTACAAAACACAAACAATGGGCTAAAAGACGAGAGACTGTCCCGATACCAGAATTCTTACTGACTGAAGTTTCTATACCAGTTTCGATACCATGGCAACAAAAACGGAATACTAATAGGTACCGAATAATATCTTGTTTTTGCTTACTAATAATTGCAAACAAACATCTTAACTGTGTCTAAATATGTTGCCAACATATTTGTGCATTTAAGAACGTGCTCTCTCTGTTTATTGCACGGAAGCTTTCAGCTAAAAAATATCACTGAAGGATTTTAGTTTTTATAAAGCTGCGATACTATCGATCATTGATATAATTGAGAACATATAATTTTCAAACATTTCAAAAGTATTGAAGTATCAAACATTTTGACGCTGCATACAACACAGTCAGGTAATAATTCTCTGTGGTTTTGTCACTGACAGATGCAGTAGTTGTTTAGCATGCTAACCGCTGCTCTAAAGGTCGCTATATTCAAAAAGAACAAAGTAAGCAGAGTAAAAAATGAATGCATGACTTTGGGTTTGCTAAATGAGTTAAGGCCAGAAGGGCAGTTTGCTTTGCTGTGTCAGTATTAGTGTAATCTTTATGTGTGTGTGTGTGTGTGTGAGAGAGAGAGAGAGAGAGAGAGAGAGAGATGTCATCCCCCTGTTAGACCCTGTGAACATGCAAGCTGCTCTCTGCTGATTAGGAGCGACAGATGGGAGGATTTCTGCAGTGGTAGACACAGAGAGGATCCCGTGATCCTGTGTGAAGATGACAGCATCCCCTCCCTCCTTTCAACTCACACACACACACACACACACACACACACACACACACACACACACACACACACACACACACACACATATACACACACATATACACATAAAGGCTCACACACACCAGACACGTGCATAATGCGTACAGTGCAGGGAAACAAGTACAGGCTGACTCTCTTTCCAGTGGTTAAAAGCCTTTCTGTTTTCCCACAGAGACCTTTCACAGATGCTATTCATCTGTGTTTATGTGTGTGTGTATCAAACAACACAAGATTAGCAAAAACCTGAAAATAAAGGCGGAAACATCTGGAGTTCCAGATGTTCTAGTGGCCAAAAGCTGCAAAAGAAATCACCCTTTTTTTCCCCCACCAGGTTGGGCCTTAACTGACTTTTGTATAAAAGTATAAAGATATAATTTTTCACCTCTTCCTTTGACCACTTTTGAAGCACAAGTTACTTACAAAGACGTTTGCAAACCAAAATCCAAACCTAAAATTATAAACA